GCCTTGTTTGTCCTCCCGGCCGAATACTCACCTTGGAGTTACGGATCAATTCCATAGCCCTACGCTCGTAAGGAGCAAAGCCGACGACTTCTCTGACGACGCTCTTGATGACAGCGTTTCTCTGGCTCAGCTTTCCCTTACGACGAGAAGCCTTCTCTTTGGGCACACGTCGGGTGTTGACGTGACCGCGGTTGATACCCCATACCAATCCGGTTCGGGGAGTTCCCACTTTGTGCGCTGGGTTGCTGGAGTTTCCCATCTTGACGAATACGTGAGGTGTACGTGTTGCTGGTGATGGAGATGTGTTGTCGTGGTGGGAGGTTTTGAGCGTGACGACGTGAGAATTCAACCTGGAAGGCTTGCTGCGGGCACAGCGCCGACGCCAGCCAGCCAAATGCGCGCGCTCGAGCAAATCTCATGCAAAGCTGCGTGCGAGCGAGCGAAGCCGCCACGTGGCTTGCCTGCCATTTTACGTCTGCCAAACACCTGTGCTTGCAGCAGTGGGACGCGTTACATGCGATGATCCTGCCGATTGTTCTCGGCCGTGTCCATTTCCACACAGTCCCACTGTGACTGCTGAAGATTGACGATGCCCCCCCGCACAAGCACCACAACCAACTCACAGTCACCGCGTAACGAGCAACGAGTTGGCTAATCTTGAACAATTCCTGTATTGGTGCCGCCTTTCGGAGACCGACCTCAACCCCTCGAGTTCCTGCCCACACTCAAAGTTGGTAAGGTCATTGTCATCATCTGCAGCTTCTTGCAGTTCACGAAGCTGGATCAAGATGTCGTCATCGCTCGCTCGTGCGCTACCCGCAGCCGTCAAGGAGATCAGGCTCCACCTGTGTCAGACTGGACCAGCCTCCGCCGGCGTGAGGTGAGTAGTGTCTTGTAGAGGGCATCGAAGGCTGCATCGGCACGCGATGCCAATCGAGTTCAAGAGGTGCCATGCATCACATTCGATTGGTGACATCTATGAGAGTCTCGCTGACATACATTGCCCTTCCTCCCGACTTTTCTATCGATAGGGAATTCTTGAGCAGCGCATACCCTGCCGTCAAGCAGGCCAACCCAGATTTGCCCTTCTTGATCCGTGAAGCATCCGGTACACCAGCACGTATCTTTGCTCGATTTGGTGAGTGAAGAATGAGGGCAACGCTGCATGGGGCAGTCCGGCTGCGGCGATAGGGCAATTGCAAATCAAGCTGGCTCAGCACCGGACGCCCCAGAGACAGGTTCCTGGCAGCAAGACCATCATGCACGAATCGCGCTGACGCTGTGAATATCTGCGGATCGTTTGCAGAACGCGGTCAGGAGAGGCACATTGAGCTGGATGGATTGAGCAAGGCTGACGTGGAGAAGCGATTCTCTCAGCTTGTAGGATGATCCACCTCGACCCGCACCGCTAGTCAATCAGAGTCACTTGTCTGTTCATTGCATCTGCTTGCTTCTCTCGACGAGTACCATCGTGGGCGCGCAGAGCGCGCGAGGGGAACACTACAGTATGCCTTGGGCGTGGAGCACGCCCGCGCGGTCACAATCACAACGGGGTACCTGCGAGTGGGTCATAGCACTCGATACGCGTCATCGATTGACCTAGGTAGGTCCTCGCATACAATAGGTGGAGGCAAAAGCGCAAAGCGGGCTCGCGTGTGGTAGCAACAGAAAATGCAAGCTGGAGAGTCGTATTCGCCTTGCGCGGATATCGCTTCAGGTCGCCGCACATTCTCGCGCATCACAATCTTGACGGTGGATGAGCATGGTGATGATCATGTGCCGCCTGGCTATTTTCGGCACGCAAGAAGCCATCAAAGTAGGTCTCGATCGCCGGCGCTTGGTCGAGGCCCAGCACCGCGCCCACGTATCCGTCCGGTCGCACGACGACGACAGCGCCGCTATCTTCCGTCTGTGGGCCTAGCCACTTGCGGTGCAAGCCGCCAACCGTGGCGGCACCATCTTCTCCGCGCTGCAGATCACCTCCCTGCTCGACGTCGTCCGCATACACTAGCGCGCGCAACGGTCCAAGGTGGTCCAAGTCGGTCAACTCAAAGTCGAAACGGCTTTGGCGCATGATGAGAAGCAGGTGAAAGAAGGGATTGGCCTCGTGGGAAAGTCCGTTGAAGAGGCCTGTGTTGAGGGCGCGAGGTCGCTGGTGATATGCGCCTTGCGCCAGATCTCTTCTTTTCTTGGGGACAAAGCGTTGCAGGAAAGATTGCGAGCTTTGCAAATGCTTGATAAAAGCATGTAATCGAGCGCGATTCCTTTGTGGATCGCCGGCCAGGACGTACAGCCGAAATCCACCTGGTGCAGTGTACTGGATCTCGTGGATGATGCGCACAGCCTGAGAATTTATGAATCGCGTAGCCCAAGCTGGTTGCAGTCGTGCTCCGGCTTCCAAACGGTGGGAAATGTTTCGAACGCCGAGCGGCCTCGCATCGCGAAAATTGAGCGCGTTGTCGGAATACGTCACACCCGCCCCAGTGGTGAAAGCTGCATTTCGGCGTTGGACCTTGACAAAGTACTCTTCGAGCTCGCTTTCGTTGAGCTTTCCAAGCTCCGGCTTGCTGGCGGGGATCTCGCCAGAGAAGAGCGCCGCGTACTCGGCATCAAAGGTGATCAGCTGATTACCGGTAGCCCATCGTTCCGAGTGGTACGTGGAGAGGAGCGCGTCGTGCTCAGCCAGGCCCTTCTCAACCAGATTGATGCGCCAAGCAAGCGCCTGAGCGTCAATGATGGCGGTGTTCATGCCCTGACCTGCTTTTGGAGAGTGCGTGTGGCAAGCATCCCCGACGAGGAAGACATGATGGGGGGAAAATGCGGAGCCATTTGCTGTGCTACCCGCCGGCAGCGAGTAGCGCGACACTAAGCGTTGTCCGATCGGGTAACACGTGAACCACTCTACGGTCTTGAAGTCGAACCTGTAGGGGTGAGCAATCTTCTGTATGGCCTCCATCACCATGTTGCTGGTCACTTTATCCTTGGCTTCAAAGGCGCTCTCGCCACTCTTTTTACCGCCTAGCCTGTTCACTTGCGTGTAACATCTGATGATGGGTTCACCCGCCTCGTTGTCCTCGCGCGGGAAGATGTACAGGGCGCCATGGGCTTTGCTGTGGATTGTTGCGATCTTGCGCACGCTGAGATTTCAGGGTCCGCAGCTCTGGTCAGCTGGGTGATCGACGGTCAAACACGTGTCGGCACTTACTCACTCTGGAAAGTTGGTTTCGACGACGCAGTCGAGTGCACTCCAGAGCGTGTCGATGATGCCAGCAGACTCGAACACGACACCGTGTTCGGTTTCCATGTTTTTGCGAACGCCCGAGCGTCCACCATCGCATCCTACAAGGTATTTTGTTCGTAGTGACTTGAGCTGTCCTGTTCCTGTAATCGAGAAGTCCGGCTGGCCAGCTGCATTCTTCGTCTGGACCACACCGCGAGTCTTTTCCAGCGTGACAGTCACCGGACGCTGCCTGTCATCGGTCATTTCGAAATTGCGGAATCTCCACGGTCGCGTAACGCGCAGACCGTGTCGCTCCATGTCCTTCAGAAATCCGCACTCGATCAAGCCTTGCTGCAGGCCGAGCGTGCAGTTATCTTCGATTTCCATGTTGGTGGGAAATGACTGAACGCGCTTGTTGCGCGCAATGACTGTCTCATTACCAGGCTGCGGACCCCAAAAGGTTCTCTCGTAGCTAGCAGCACTCCTCGCTACAAAGTCGCTGCCAAGAGGCTCCATGTTCTTGAGCACCTCGATCGTCTATGCGAGGCATTGGGAGCGTGGGAGCGTGGGAGCGTGGGAGCGTGG